CACATCCCTGCAAATATACTCACAGGTGAGACAGAAGTTGGCTGTGGTTTTATTTTCAATACATTTAAATCCAGGCTTAGTGGTCTCTGTGCACTTTGCAAATACTTTTCCTGAAATTCTTAGCACTTTGTATGAAGCAAAATATATTGAAAAATACAGCAAATAGAAGGAAGAGGCAAGGGTGGTAAGAAAACGATTGCCAACTCAAATCCCAACCTAGTTTTTCATAACCTACATTCTCTGAAGGCTCCTCTGCATATTTAAGTCTCATCCCAGATTTTATGGCTCCTTTGCCATGGAAAAGTGAGAGTTCTTAATCAGCTTGGGAAATTTGACAGCCGTCTTGCACCTAACCCAGAGGATCTCCTCAGAGATGGAAAAGCATGAAGCCAAGACATCATATCCAGGCTGTTAATTTAAACTGACATGTTACTGACTGCATTAGAAAACTGTGTATTCTGACATCTGGTCTATACAGGATATGCTCAGTTCTTCACATTATCTTGCTTCTTCAAAGCTACTGCAGGTAGTGGGACAGTTTGTCTCTGTCTGAGGACAACTAGCTCAATATTTGATACATAAATCTACATTACTCGTGTAGTCTTTTCACATCAGTAACATATATATATACATACATACATACATGTTGTGCTTACAGGATTTTGTAACTTATTGTGGTTTCAAAGGTAAACCCATCTTTTGCCAAGGAATAGATCCGTTTCTTCAAAACACAAATGAAAGTGTTACAACATGTTGCCTGTCCTGTTAATACTTGATTTGAATCTGTGGCAAATGAGCATTTAGAAATGAGTTATTAGGATTGACTGGAAGACATATGGGAGAATTAAACTTTCTCACAGCACCGTGTTTCAAAACAGAAAATTGTTTTTTGACTAAACAAATTGAAAAGGAAAAAAAATATGTTTCCACAGAGAAATAGAAGGAAAAGCTAAGAGGAATCACCTGCTGTTAAAAAACAGGCACTGGAGACCAATTGTATTTTGGTTTTGAATTTGCATGGCCATGATCTACAGTTTCTGTGGGAAAGATTTCTTTCGGTCAGCAGAAAGGCTCCTCTCAGAATGTGTGCAGCAGCTCCTGCTGGAGCACTCACACAGCTGTACCAGATCTGACTGCAGACACACAGAGCCCCACTCGTTCTTAGCAGTGAGCAACATGCAGTTTGAAGATCCAAATTTGGAGTGTGATTTTGAGATCACTTAAGTGATTTATGAGCACAGTTCCCACTGAGTGGCCTTGGTTGAGCTCCTTACCACTGGAGGGCAGTCCCAGCAATTTGGATGCCTCAGGTGCAAATGGGATGCAGGTACTTAAATCCAAAATTTTGGTCCTCAAAACCATGAACCAGCAACACTGTAACCTCAAACTGTGCTCATACCCATGTAAAATGATCTGAGTTTAAATAACCCTGCTCGTCTGAGTACCAGGGAGACATGTAAATCTGAGCAGCACCCAGAGGCTTGGAGGGTTTCCACAGAGACTGTCCTCCTCAGCATCTACATAATTGCATCAGACTCTACAAAAACACAGCAGCAGCCACCCTGGGTTCTTTCAAATCACAGCTTGAGGGGACTGCTGCTACACAAATTAGCCTTTAGACATGGTACACAGCAGTCTGCAGGATAAGGCACAAGGAAGCAAGTTTCCTTACTGCCAGTTGAGCTCCACATGGCAAAGCTGCCATCAGGCTGACTTGTCTGCAGATTACTTTGAATTCATTTCTGCACAGTGGCTCAGCTTTAGATTGAAGTCTAGAAAGGGCCCCCCTGCCAAGGTAGTCTGCAGTCTCCAGGGAAGCAAGAACTGTGGGGTTTAATCCTTTTGAGGCAAAGAAGGACCTGACCTGGTTTATTCATGCTTCCTGGCTGTGTATGTGTGATAATCACTGAGCCAAGGCAGAAGGGAGGGGCCCCCAGCACATGCTTTCTCTTGCATGTTTGCAAATTTTTCTACTTGTTTTTAAAAAAGTTGGAGCATATCTGGAGGAGGCAGTTCACACTGTTTATCCAGGGTGATGGGAAATGTCTCCTGGCTTTACTGAGGACATTGCTGAAGCCCCAGGGGAAAGAATCAGATTGTTTTCAATTTTTTTCTGTTTAGCTATGTCTAAACAGCTTTCCACACAAGCTTCACCATGCTGCTTGCAGAAGCGTGTCAAGGGTTTGTAACAGCACATGCAAAACCATCTTCTCAAGATGGCAGAAGTGTGGGTTTCTGCAGGGCAGAAAGTTTCTGAAGGGACCTGTGTGATCAGAGGCACTGAGGACTCAGGGTGGGTGAGACACGACTCTCTACCTCCATTTTCCTCTCTCTGTAACCTCGTACATCTCTTTACAGACAATTTCCTGTTGGGAGGAACCAGGACTTAACCCTGAGCAATGCTAGAGCACCCTGGCAGGGGAGGACATTGCTGACCTTCATCCATCCCTTGGGATACAGCAATTGAGGCAGGAGGCAGTGCCATAGTGTGGGCCAGCTGCTCTCCCCTCCTGCCCACCTTCCCTCAGGCTCTGAGGCACTTCAGCTCCCCCCTTTAGTGATGAAGCCAGTGAGCCATAGGTGTTTGCAGAAGCTGGAGTCCAGGCAGCTGTTCCCTATGGTGGATGATGCAAGTGGATCACCTCCATGGCAAAGGGCCCTGGGAGGCATGGACTGGAGTGTCTGTCTGAGGCAGATCAGAACACAGCAGTGCAATGTGCTCTCCTGCCATCCTTGATGGCTGGCTGGAGCTGCCTGCATCATTCTGCCCAACATGGATCTGGTCCATGTGCTGCTAATAAAATTCCAGACACTGCTGAGGGATGTGAAGGAATGCTCCATTGGCTCAAGGTACTCTACTGCCATTGCACATCATCTTCATCCAGGGGCTTGCCTTGATGAAAATGGCTAAGATGTCAAAAATCTCACTGCAGATGGAGCCCCAAGGACTTGACTTTGCTGAAGGACGGTTGATCTTTATCTCAAAAATGAGGTTTTTAACCCCAGGTCAGCACAAGCTTCTCTGAGAGCCAGCCTCCACTCACCTCTATGGTGTCTATTAAAGCAAGGCACTGAAGAAGTCGGAGCTGATCACTCTGTTATCCTCAGGTTTTTTAAATTTGAACCAAACTGCAGATAACTTCACACTTGGACATGGCCCAGAAAGCTACTGCTGGTTAACAGAGTGGTGTTTGGTGGCCAGGTTTAACACAGGTTTGGCCAGGTTCTTGTTCTCTACACATGTAAGGCAGAACACAACCATGATTTGTGACAGACTTTGAAGCATTCACGAGCTCAGCAGTGGCTCAGGTGCTGTCTACTAATGTGTTAAACCATAGTAACTGGAGACAGACAACACTTAGCTGCAGAACTCATTTGCCCCAGAGTAATTATTCACATATATGATAGCATATCTATTCTGTTCCAGAATAAAAATTTTAAAAGCATATATAAAGCAGAAAGAGATGCAGTACTACGTTGTTTGTTACTTTTTAAATGAAGAGCTTAAACTAAAAAGAGAGTACATGTGTGATATACCCATCCAGACTCACTTTACTTTCAGCAAAATGGACTGAAAAACTGAAAATATGCCTCATCTTCACACAGAGAGCTCTTCTTTTCTTGAGAACTAAAAGAGAGAAATATTACATATTTTTCAAAAATAAATGCTTCCATTCAAAGCCTGAACAGACAGATCAATTCAAATATTTTCAGACAAAACCACAAAACCAAGGAAATTGAAAAATTCAAAATTAAAATGTTTGAGATCCTCCATTAAGTATTTAATGGAGGTCTGAGATCCTTTGTTAATTTTAGCAGAGGACATCCTCTATTCCATCTTGAACAATTTTTGGAAAGGGTACTGCACTCAGGAGCAGTGTGATTTGTAAAAACGGGAAAATTGAAGGTGTTCTTTTCCCTGTATTCTGCCTATTTTAGCTCAAATATTTGGTTTCAAGTCTTCGGATATGCTTTTTTTTTTTTTTTCCATTTCAGTACATACTTTGTGTTGGTTTCATCTTCTGTATAAAGGCAGCACGTTTCAAAGCTTTGAAACAGCAATATCCAGTTATTGTCATCATCCTTCTCTCAGAAGAGGAGCAGTTTGGCTGGGGGGGAAGAGTTTTGTTCTCTGATGTTTCCCCAGTAAATGCAATTTCAGGAGCCCTGCTCTGGCTTTGTGCACAGCAGCGTTTCTGTGCCAGGGCTGCAGACACAGCCTCGCTGCTCCCGGGATTCATTCCCTGGGAAGCAGGACAAGCACTCCCCTTCCCTAAGTGCATTCATAGCCACAGCCTTTATTTGCTCCGAGATTGCTTTTCTGTGCCCTGAAAGCCTCTGCAAATTCACGTAGGAGTAACAGCAATTTTAAGACAAGGTGTGCTCCAAGGCAATAAATGAGAACAAAGACCCAGGAGAGCTAAAAGCTGAAGGACTCAATTTATTTCTTTTATCCATTGAATAACTGAATTATTAAATTAAAAGCAATGCTACATCAACTTTACCAAGGTGGGGGAGTAAGTTCTAAACACCAAGACCGAGGGCTTTATTTTGCTTTTATGGAACCCGTGTCTTGTACATGAACCTCAGTCAATTGCAGTCAGAAGAAAATAGAGTCCTACTGCTATAACCAGTAAATGGCAGCACAAAACCCAGGCATTATACTTGTTCCCAAATGGAAGTAAAGGTTAGTTCAGCTGAGTCTCCCTTCAGCTGGCTACAACCTGCAGCAAATAAAATTTGAAAAATAAATTACGACCAACACTGAGAGTAAAACTAATAGATATTTCTGCAGGAAAAACCTCATTTATTTTGTGTCCTTTGTTCACATGGAAATACAGTGTATTTGAGACTCCTTTGGCAAATCTAAGGGGAATTAGGAGGTTAAAACAGCAGCAGATAGGGTCAGCAAAACCCAACAACACTGGAAACTTAGGGTTTCCTCAGTACTGTTGACAATGGGGCAATGGATGTGGGTGTGGTGAGCTCTACCTACATACGATGCTCTGCCTACACACAGTGAGCTCAAACACTACAAAATGTTAGTCTCTGAAGAAAAATTTGCAAACAAGTGTGAAACAGAGGTAGCCTTGGCACTAAAAGAGCTACATTTCTCAAAAGGCACACCAGGAACAATTTGGTGGCTGAAGCAGGTGTAGTCCTGAGTACAAAGCAGGGCTTGGGACACTTGTAGATGGCCTGCTCCTGGACAGGGGTCACAAGGCTCATGCCACATCGAGCCAGTTCTGCAAGAGATGACAAAGTACAGTAATGCAGTAATTTATGTGGTTTTTAAGCACAAGGCTGTTAGAACATAATTAGGTAGTCTTCTACCAAATGAAATGAATAAAAACTATAAAACAAAAAGATGAGGCACTAAATTTAGAAGAAAACTCGTTTGATTATCACATCAGAGCTGAGATATTTCAGATCATACTGTCAGCTTAATTTGCTACAATTTATGTAGATTTGATAAAACTATCTGAGCTGTTACTAACGTGGGAAGTCACACTTCATGTATTCCAAAGCAGTTAGCCTTTTCACTCTGATGCAGCACTTGAAAACCTTGTGCTGAACACATTTTGAACTGTATAAGGTGGGAATGACTGGAATTGCTTATTATTTTGTGTTTCTGATGATTTCTGTCATTACAGTGTCTGACTGCTCCAGGCATACCTAACACTGGCAGGACAGCTCCCAGGAACCGAGAAACAGCACTGCTCTCGTCTCACTCATACCTCCCTAACAGTGATCACTGTGATCTTGTTCCTGCTCTCCAGTTTCTAATGCCCACAGTCCCCTGGGTGCAACTAGTTCTGCAGGGATTTATATGCATATGACTTGGGAAAGGTGTTTTTCAAGCCACAGGACCTTCTCCTGAATACTTGGATCTGTTCACACAACAAAGTTTTAGGGATTCCTGGTATCCAAGAGGAGTACATTCCAGTGGTACCTGTTGTTAGATACTGTAGTTCATGGACTGACTCTTAACACATCTAGCAGAGATAAGCAAGAAAAAGCTTGTTGACTGTATTCCTTCTTCACACTTCACTGATCCCCCAACATCTGGTATCTTCAGGAGGCCTCCTGCCTTTCTGAGCTTCTTTTCAGGGATGTCACCCCAGAAATTGCATCTCACTCAGGCAACTTAGTGCAAAGTTTATTTTTCATGAAAATCTGTCATGAACAGCACCAATGGAAAGAGAGAGGTTATTTTACAAGAGAGTCTAACAAAAGTTCAGGACTAAGTAATCAACAGAACAACCACAGGGAAACAGTTATTAAATAGCAGTGACCTATGAAAATTTTCAGCTTTCTAACAAAACTTTTGGACCTTTCTTCCAGAAATGGTTCTCACTTGAGAACAGAGCAGAGATTTTTGGGTCTACATTTCTAGCACCGGAAGTATTTTGTTACTTTAAGGGCATTAATATTTCAAAGGGAGAGGCTCAATGAAGCCATTTCTCCTGTCTGCATGTAGAGGTTAAAAATTAGGAGAGATTTCTTCAAATTATTACTTTGTGCTTGTCTCTTCCAGTAATAAAAAAAAAGCTCTGCTTGAATAAACAGTATGGAATAAAAGACTTTTTTCTTTTGAAAAAATACAAGCATCCGTTCTTGTAGTTTGCTTTGACGCAAAATGGTTTCTGATTCTTCAGTGTTTGTTTTAAAGTTATTAGTCAGTTTTCAAAACCACAAAGCATAATCTTTTCCTAACTAGTTTATGTAGAAGCATTTGTGGTTTATAAGAATATGCCCTGCTTTTTACTTGGCAAAAGTAACCTCCTAACACAAACCTTCAAGCTTTCTTAGGCCTCTAGAAAGCAGACTCTCTCTCCTGTCTGTTCTCCCCTCTCTCTTCCACATTTCTGCTAGAGAGCGAGAAGGAAATCTCTCCTTGACTTGCAAAGGACTGACGAGCTGGGAGTTACCACAGCACTGTTTGGGGGCAGAGACTCAATTCAGGACAGACAGCTGCCAGCCACATCAGAGAAAATTGTGCTGGTTTGGCCGGGGTGGAGTTCATTTTCTTCACAGTGGCTGTACGGGGCTACATTTTGCATTTATGCTGAACACAGGGTTGATAATACAGAGATGTTTTTTGTTGTTGCTGAGCAGTTCTTACACAGAGCCAAGGCCTTTTCTGTTTTTCCTACAGCCATGCAGGCAAGGGGGCTGGGAGTGTATGGGGGGGACACAGCTGGGACAGGTGACCCAAACTGACCAAAGGGATGTTCCAGACTGTATAGCATCATGATCAGTATATAGTGAGGGGAAGAAGGAGGAAGAGGAGATGTTTGGAGTGATGGTGTTTGTCTTCCCAAGTCACTGATATGTGCAATGAGGCCCTGCTGTCTTAGACACAGCTGAACTCCTGTATGCCCTTGGAAAGCTGTGAATTCCTGGTTTTGCTTTGCTTGTGTGCATGACTTTTGCTTAACCTATTAAACTGTTTTCATCTCAACCCATGAGTTTTGTCACTTTTACCTTTCCAATTCTCTTCCCCTCAACACTGGCAGGTGAGTGAGTGAGTGAGTGAGTGAGTGAGTGAGTGAGTGAGTGAGTGAGTGAGTGAGTGCTTATGTGGTACCTGGTGGCTGACTGGGGTTAAACCATTACAACAAATTTTTTTCTTCTGATCACAGAAACTCTGGGAAACAAAAACATGAATAACTTTCTTTTTGTTCTCAAGGAAAAAAAAAAAAAAAAGGAGGTAACAGGATTACAACGGTTCTTCTGATACTAAATGATGTCCTGAACATTCCATTTTTCTCTTTGAAAATAAATTCCTAGTTCTTCTGTTTTAAAGTCTGAAAGCACATCTTAAGTAAACACAAAAAACTGGCAAACCTAAAGAAGTTTAAATATTCTATTAAAAAATCCTACAAACCTTCAACCCTAGTTTCTTAGGACAATTTCACAAGAAGAAGGGACCTGACAAAATTGATGGCTGGCCATTAAATCCTTGAGTGCTGCTGGTCTGGGAGTTCTGAATAAAAAACAGCAGGATGGTAGGAAACCATAGATAGAAGAAGACAAGAAGCACTTTGAAATTACCACAGACCACCCAGTGAGTATGTTGGGGGATGTCCAGTCACTGGGCACACCAAGAAGGGTCTGGCTCTGCCCTCTTTGTACCCTGCCTTTAGGTCCTTATGCACACCAAGGACATCCCCCATGACCCCTCTGACTCTGGCATGGGGGTCCTGCAGAAATTCTTGATGTACATCCTCCTTCTTCACCCCATAGTTCCCACTCCAAGAGATCTTATGTCCTGACCCACCTTGGCATCCTCTGGATGCAGGATTCCCTTCTCTCACACAAACTTTGGCTGCTGGGACTCAATCAAATGAACACATTTTTCTAAAACTGCAGTGCTCTTCCCAGAGCTCACAACATGTCAAGAGTTCCTCCACTAACAAAGCACTGTTGTGTTTCTGGAGAAGAAGCAATAACCTTGCTTGTAACTGCACCCCTCTGATCCATGTGAGCACAGGAATAAAGTGCAAACTCTAAACTGTGGCTCAGAGCAAGGACACCAGGAGAGGTAGATCACTGCTGTTAACTGAGGGGCAGCTTAAGAGCAGGATATAGCAGGAAATTGTAATTAATTCTTTAGTGGTTCTAATGTGCATTTTTAGCCCAGGGTAATCGACAATTTTTTTATGTAAATAATTAATAGCAACGCCAAGGAACATCTAGTGTGTATAGATACAAGACCTTTATTCCCTAAAGGACTTCTGTTAGGGTTTTTCCCCCTTCTTATTCCTCAAGTGATGCCAATCTCAGAGGCTGCTCTGTTGACAAGATTTCTCATTTTATGTGGGGCAGAATTCTCTGCATAATGCAAAGGCTAGCTGGCCCAGGAAGTTTTTGCTAGTTCTTCAGCCTTCAAAATACAGGTCCCTTGCTTCTGTTACTTGAAGACAGAACTACCTTCTGTAATCAAATCACCCTCCCCAGTAGAACTCCAGGTAAAGACAACAATTTTTCTCCAAGTACCACATCAGATGGTGAGAAACCATCTCATCAACATTGTGATGGGGATCCAGACAATTCCTTTCTCAAACACAACCAGAACACAGTGCTGGGAGTGCTGCCCCTATGTCCATTACAGACTGTTTTGTAACTTTAAGACAGTAGATTTCCCTTTTTGCCTTTTGAGAAGTTCTTCCACTAAGAAAGTCTTCCTCAAGAGAAAAGTACTAGACCACTTTAGCTGAAGGTTCAGGTCCTCTGAAACCAAAGTCTAGCACTTAAGGTCTGTGACCCTTCACCATAAAAAGATTTGTTACACAGCACTCCACACTCCAGGACACAAAAGGTGAAGGGATACAGAATGAAGAATGGGTTGCAGAAGTAATTGGCTGCCATTATCTATATTCTCAGGTGAAATGTCAGTTTGTGCTCAGGCCCATTTTCAAGTACAATCACTATACTAGTTATCACACGAGATATCACAACAATCTGTAATAAATCTCAGCCACAGCAGGCTCCATTTGTTACAAAGTAAATGCTCTCTACCATTACTTATTCAATAGGGCATATATTTTTAGTGTATTATATTTTGCTACTATTTTATTTTGCATATGCTTCACTCCTGTGCATGTATAAACATCCAGGTGTGAAGGGAGCAGAAAAAATTATTGTAGATGAAGCAAAGGGAAATGAATCATAACTCACATTGTATATTAAAACTAGCTACATCTAACACATCATCTACAGGTGTGGAAGAAAAAAACTCTTTACGACAAAGTGGAGTATGCTAATTAGCTAATTATAGATGATAGATCCAGATCCCCATAAGGGATGACTACAGGAATATCTTAACTGAGGAGCACTTGATGACCTTCAGTGGATCCAGCTTCATGACATCTCCCTAATTACATTCCTCCCACAAACCTATACTCACAACTATGATCTTAGCAAGTCTATTCATGTTTCCTAATTTGGTGAAGAGCAAGACCGAAGATATTTAATAGAAGTTACTCTAAAATGTAAATTATGTAGGAATGGGTTTGCAAATAATGAACCAGCCCACTGCTTTGCAGGTTTCTTATTTTTGCTGCTGGGTTTGCATGCTAAACTGAGCAAGAAAACATGGATCAAAATTATAGCAAAATTAATCATGTTAGCTTGCAATTTACTGAAACTAACCATGAAATATGACAATACAGGAGGTAAAGTTGGAAATATCTGCTGTGGTTGTAAATGCTTTGATATTTGTGACATGTTAAAGTGTATTTTTGATGTTTTTTATTGTAGCATATTATAAGATCACAGAATAATGGAAATTATCCAGAGTATTTGGAGTTATTCCAACTGTTTCAAGAAGGTATTTCTGATAGAGTATCACAAAAAAGAAAAACATAATATCAAAGGGAAATCCCTCAGTAGTGAATATCTGAGAAGATTATAGTAGTGATGTAAGAGAGAAGTAATTTTCAAACTGAAAACCAAAGAACATCCTCATCTATCAGTACACACTCTGCACAGGCATATTCTATTGACCAGTCAGTTCACCATGCTTTTGAGAGAATCACATCCAAAGGATAGGAAGGTGTTTTTCCATAGATGGAGCAAAGTATCAGGCAGATGTGAGTGTGAATTTCTTGCAGACTGATGTAATCTTCTCTGGATTTGCATGACCAGTCATAAAACAGCTTTCTGACAATATCACCTTTTACACAAGGCTGCAGGCCACAACAGATCTGATGAATGTCCTCTTATGGGGGACAGTCCTTAGATTTAGTATCATTCAAGGCTGCAGGATGTGCCATGTGATCAGTTTACATCTCAATTTTATATGGAATTCATGCACACACTTAGTTCTGCACATCATCCAAACTCACAGGCTCCAGTGAGTACTGTACCTGCAACTCCTGTGGAAACTAAGTTCTCAGCTATGACCTGTGACTGCACTACCCAAAATCTAGAAATCTGTATCACTGTCAGAACTTGATAACCAATATATCAAAAGAAGGACAGAAATTACTTCATAATAACCTCACTGCTTTCAAGATGCCCTTTACTTTGCTGACCTTTCTGTAGAAAACTTTAAAGTGAACATCTGAGCATGCCCTAAATGTTTCTGTCAGATTCTCCATAAGGTAATTACTAAAAACCTTCTAAATATTAAAAAAGCAATCATCTTAGAATAAATATGGGGCTAAATTTACGTCGAAATATCTCTTACAGAAAGAAAACTCTTTAAAGCCTCACATTAAAAATTCATATTTCTCTGGGCAGTGCTTTAGTGAAATGACTAAAATGTTATATTTTACAAAATGTTATTTTTGCCCCTCCCAAGTTTCCTGAAGAGAAGACTCTGTTGCATCTTTAAAATATCAGGAACATTATGACACAGCAGGGTAAAAACAAGAAAGACTCAACACTCTTTCCTTCCAAATGGCATATTTATGCTGTACATAAAAAATATGTTAATGATGCAGTGTGCACTGGGGTAATTCACTCAAATTACACACCATTTCTTATAAGATTCCTGGCTCTTAGCACTTCTGCATTCCCAGAACCCCTTTGCATCGCTATCTGTTTCCCTCTGTTCTTCATTTATGTTTTTGTGACAAAAATTCCAGATGATTTTCTCCTGCTCAACTTAATTCCTCTGCCTCTCTTCAAGATAAAAAGGATTTATCAGTCAGCATGCACAACTAGCAATTCATGTGAATATTATGTGACACAACTGTCTTTTTTTTACTGTAGCCAGGATGGGGTTTATTTTTGTATTAAAACTTCTCTGCACATCTGTTTTCATTGTAATTACCTGATGCATCTTTACTGACTTAGGCTTTTCAAAGGAAATCAGAGGATAATTTCATGAACAGAAATTACCATCAATTTCTATCAGGTTCAGAACGTAGAACAACAGAGGCTTATGGGTCTTGTTTGAAATCAGATATACATTATTCTGAAGTTGGCACTGAAGTGCTAAATATTTCCTTTTAAATAAAATGAACATAGAATCATAGAGTGGTTTGGGTTGGAAGGGATCTTTAAAGACCATCTAGTCCAACTCCCCTGCAATAAGCAGAGTCATTTTCCAGTAGATCAGGTTTCTCAGAGCCTCATCCAGACTGATCTTCAATGTTTATGGGGATGGGGCATTTACCACCTCTCTGGGCAGCCTGGTCCAGTGCTTCATCACCCTCATTGTAAAAAACTTCTTCCTTACATCTAGTCTGAATCTAATGTCCTCAAGTTTAAAACCATGACAACAAGACCTACTAGAAATTCTGTTCCCATCTCTTCTATAAGCCCTCTTTAAGTACTGAAAATCCACAGTGATTTCTGCCCAGAGCCCCCTCTTCTCCAGGGCTCTCTCAGTCTGTCTTTCATAGAGATGCTCCTGCCCCCTCTTCACCTTTGTGACCCTCCTTTGGATTCACTCCAACAGGTCCATGTCCTTCCTGTGCTGGATTACAGCAAGTCCTTGAGTGCCACAAATAGCACTGGATATGTTTGTGTGATCAAATATACGGAACCATTAGCATGTCAATTTTGAATTACATAAATAAATTAATATTAAAAAAACTAATGTTCCAAAGGAACTTTTAAAAAATACTGACCTACTTGTCCATCACTGCAATAAATTTATCTGCATTGTAAAACATGTATTTGTAGTTAGATTGTAAAAATACAAGTTCTATATTTTGCAAAATTGGAACTTGTGCTTATGAAGCAATATGTTATTTTTAAGGTGGCTTCGATATTCCAAATACACTGAATTCTTAATATGCTGAATAGACCACTTCAGGCTGGTGATGGGTGCCATATATCATTGGATATAGTCTCCAACATGATCTATGTTTGAAATAACAGAAAATCCCAATTATGACTTCTAATATTTTTTCTTTGAATTATGGGGTGCAACTCCAGGTCCACTGAAGTAATTGAAAAGCCATCTTTTCACTTAGAGAGGTTTCTGGATCAGCCTGCCTCTCCTAGAGCCATGCAGAGAACCTCTCTTTTACTCACCTGCTTCTTCCAGCTACTGTTCAGCCTTGGGGACATATTTCAGCTCACTCTTTATGCTCTGAATCTCTGACAAGTTGACAGCAGGACCCGGAAGTTTCTTAGCTCCTGGGAGAAGTTTCTTCTCTTTCTCCTCCTCTGTTGAAGCAGGAACATTCTGCACAAAAGGACACCAGTGACCTTCTTGCTGCAATAGCAATCTCTTGAACATAAGCATGGATCAGTTATTTGAAAAACAGAAAATTATGTTTTTATACTAAAGGCAATCACAGTGGAAAACGGGGTGGAGGCATGAAGAGATAGGTTATTTTGCTGGTCGTTGTCTAAAATGTCTAAAAACATTCTCAAAAGAATAGAAGGTGCTCAGTGTAGAAGAATGAGGATTAGAATGGGTAAGAATTTACAGTGCTAGGCAATTAGTAGAAAATAACTGACTGGAGAATTAAAGGCAACTCCAAGTCCCATATTTCAGATGACAAAAAAGTAGATGAAACATTTTTATCGTCTAATTCCTTTGAGAGTTTCACAGTTGCCAGACACTTGGAGGGGAAGATCATCATGAACTTCTGAAGCTCTGAGGATCAGCTATGATGGTAGGTTATGGATTCCAAAAGCTCCATGCAAGATCAACATGAGTTGAAATTTAACTTTTCATAACCGCAGTTACAAGACCAGAAGGGGTTCTGTCATTTTATGTTTGAACTAGGGTAATGCTGCATGGCTACTTTGCTGACAGTGTAAAAATGCCAGTTAAATAACAGCAATTACACAATAGTGAGAAACTCAGCTAATTTCCCAATGGGCCACAGTATTTCAGCCCTTGGTACTTCCTCAGCTGTACTATTGCTTCTAGCTGAGTAGAGCAGGTATTTTAGACCATTTCTAATCTAGACTGGGCAATGTTTTGAAGGCATAGATTTCCAGACATGAGTTTACTGTTATTCCAGCCTGTTGTGCATTTTATGAAGCTGCCATACAGATGGAATCAAGTTCATTTAGAGATTAAATTATATTTTACTATAAATAATTCCATGATGAATTTTTTTTCATTTTTGATTAATCTGTGAATGTCCTCTTGTGATGGGCTTTTTTGAGTTCAAGAATGATTTAGATTTATTAGCCACCCTTTTTGAAAAGGTACATTAACTGTGAACAGTCGATTCTTAATATTTAACTTAATTTTTAAAATTTAAAATTTTAATTTTTTTTTAATTAAAAATTTTTAAGTAACTTAAAATTACTTGTCAAATATTATTGGCCAGTAAACTCTTCTTTTTCTTTTCTCTGCTGACTAATGGACGACATGCTAATCAGGAAGAAGACTTTGCAATGTCAAGTAGCAAACAAACAAGGTATTGTAGAAAACTGACATTTTCTTCCTATCTGATCTTTTAAGGACTTTCTTAAGATCACCAGATATAAGAAAACGGAAATGATAATTACATTTCTTGGCTTGGTAAACCTGTATTATCTTTTCTCACATTTTAGCCAATACACTATTAATTAATACAAGACAATACTAGTAGTATTTTACTATTGGTTTTGCTAGATAATTTCAAATCTCAGCCAGTAACTCAGCCCCAGGTACTGTATGTACTGCCTAATATCTGGTTTAATGTTGTAACATCCTGAAACAGCAGCGGAGCACAGCAGGAGAATAAGTAAATTGATACAGAAGCTGTTTAGAAGAATGCATGAAATTGTATCAGTAGTCAAAGATACCATGAGCTTGTATTGTTTCCTTTGACAGTTTTCCTAGGTAATCTGAATAATCAGGGTAAACAAGCACTCCCTGGACCCCATAGTACTTATTAGTACATAGCAGAAACTGTGTAAAAAATACCATTTCAAGTCATGTGCAATACCATTCCTCTTGTAGAATAAGCAGTGCAAGCTTTGCTCACATTTTGGAGACTTTGAGGTCCATAAATTGCTGTCAGCTTTCCCTTCCAACCTCAGGTGTTTGCTATTTATGACCTCACTGCTCTCTGTATCACTCACTCCATGTGCAACACACAGCTGAGAATAGACTATGGCCTTCAGTTCTAAGGAAGGAAGCCTGAAGAGTGACTTAGATATACAATAAGGGTTAAAAAGTACAAGCATTGGAATGCTCTGACTGAAGAAGAGTTATTTTCTATAATTCCCACCATCCATTTCCTTTCATGTTAACCATGTCTGTTCCACTGACCTTCAAAACTCTACATTCCTGTCTGATTCCACCACCCCTTTGAGTAAGATCCATATTCCCCTCATCTCCTGCACCAAGGCTTTAAAATACAGTGGAAAATGCACTGCTAGCAGTGATTATGCACTGTTAGCAAAAGTTACATTTGTCTAAAACTGCTGTGAAAAATCATGAGCTGTATGGCAGAACTTACGGCAAAACTTAACAAGATGAGAAAATCGAAATGACAAGTTCACTGGTAGCATTTTTATTCTATTCCTTGAACAAGATCTGTTTCTTTAGTACTTAATTGCATTGGTTTGGTTGAGTATTGGCCATAAAATCTGGGCCAAGAACTTCCATAATGCCTGTCTCATATAGAGTATTCATGCAGCTGAGAAACAAAGCAACATTCAACTACCCAAACAAATGTAATTATCAGCACCAGTCATTTATTTTATTTCTCGAACACTCCTAGAATTCACACATGCTATATTAGTTTCTGCTTAATAACATTCACTCCTTCACTAGTTTAATTACTGCAGAGTGAATATGTTTTGATTTCTTTCCAGGGGAGAAAGCCACAATAAATGTTCAAGGTCATTTTGTATGTTTGTTTTTTAAATCTACTTTAGAGCCAAGTCAGCCTAGGTTTGATTACTTCAGGAAAGTTCTCTGTAAACAGAGCACTGTTTATATCAAAATATGGCAAAATTCAGGAAAAAAGAATCTGTCTGAGACAGAAAAGGAAGAATAGGCTCTTACACAGCCTTTCCTGCCCTTGGCTGTGAGGAGCAGTGGGAGCTCTGGCCCAGCAGGATGAATTTTCATGTGGGGATTATGAATCCAAACTAAGTAAACTGTCCAGGAAACCAGGAGCACTCATCTTTTTTGTCTTGCTTGGGGTTATCTACCACTACCTTTTCTTCCACTGTTGATGTTAGGGTCTCATTTATTATCAAAGTTAATGGCAAATAGGATGCTTTAATATCAGTCTGAAATATGATATGTGTGTTTAAACATAACTATTGTGATCAATGTTAGTTAAGGTATGAATTGGATTTTATATTCAAAACTCAGTGTTAAACACATCCTGTAAAATACAAGCATGGAAAAACAGAATTCAGTCTAAAATGGAGTATTTTCACCCCCAGGCAGGTAAATGGGTTTGGATTTTCTTTTTTAAGTTGCAAGTGTCTTCACATTCAATTTCTTCTTGTTGATAAGCCTTCCAAAAAGTACTGTGTTTGAAAACCTGTGCCAATACTGTGAAGCTGTAACAATAAATCACACCACAGGGTGACAGGTAGCAGCAAAGTCTTCCAAAGCCTTGTTATAACTTTTCCTGCTGTATCTCATCAGCTCCCATCTAGGCAAATACTGCTGGTGAAATCCTGTCTCTCTCTCCTGACAGCAGATATTATCCCACTGGGGAAGCAGAGCTTCACACCTTCAAAACAGTTTCTATTCCTACAGGTGCCTTAGCACCAAAAGCCAAAAGAGCTATTTATTCATGAAGTGTTAGTAAGTAGCCATTTATTTCCATGAATGGTCAGTGCATGTTCAACTGTGGTACCTAAGATTGGTATGTGGAGCTATAAGATCACTTTAAAGACTTTTTTCCATTTTACAGCAGGGACTCTCCTCAGAAAAAAAAAAAATCAAAAAACCTTTTTTGCTTACCTCCTCCACTTCTTCAGGTGTAAGTTCTTTTCTTTTATGAGGGTGGCCTGCACCAGGTCGAAATGCTCCCATTGGGATGTTAATATTAGCCTGTGAGAAGGAAATTGTGATGCATATAATAGTGACTGATAAATAAAGACACAGTTGAAAAATGGCAAAACTCAAAAGGAGTGGGACAAGCATATAGGCATTATCATGGTTTCCAAGCACTTATGCCTTCATTGTATGCATCATCACACCACTCCTATGCAAAGTGCTTTCATCTCCATTTTAAACACAGAAAGTCAAAAAACAAACAAGAAAGCTTTTGAAGTTCTAATTTTAGATTAATGCTTCCTGATTTTGTTGGACTTGATACGAATGACACTAAATGACACTGGACACTAAAGTGTCTTTAGGCACCTGGGTTTGCTCCAGTTTTCTCAAGGCCAAACAAAAGTAAGTGCCAAAAGCAACATTTAAGCGTAAATTGTGCAAATCCTTCAGTAACACCCAATCACGGGACCACTCTTCATTCTCCAATGATACCAGTTTTCACCTCACTTTATCACACGTATCTTAGAAGGGAAGCCTGCCCTGAGTCAGCTCAAGCCATAAGTATTTAAAATGTGATTTTACCAACAAAATTTACTCACAGTTGCTACGAACTGCAAATACTTGAACCAGCTTCAACCTTGGGCAGACCACTGGCCCCTTGCTTCTCCAAACTCTTTCCAGAATGATATCCACACAACTACATCAATCTCATGTTTTATCTGGGGCAGAAAGCCAGTAGCTATAACATAATTTGGGCTGATAATAGGTATCTTGAAAGTAAAGATTTTGGGGAATAGAACAGCACAAAACAGTGGTTAGGAAAGAGCAGCTGAAAAGTATCCATTTCCCAATGTGACCCAGCCAAGATGATTTTAAAAGTCAAATGGCATGATCAACTAAATGCACAATTTATTCTTACTCTTATCTCGTGATCTCAGAAGAGAAGCTGCTCTAGGAAATGTCATCAAAATATCACGACTCCCACTGGTAAAACCAGGGGGTGAATTGGTAATGTTAAGGAGCGGAAGCTGAGAACCTTCTAACTGCCAGCTCTGTTCTTGTCCTTTACCATCTGACTGATCTGCACTAAATGGAGACAAATAATCCCACCCTTCTGCTCAAGTTAGGGTCTTGCAGATCGTGCCCTGCTTGAGCAACTACAGGAAAACAGCCCACAGTTTTCAGTAACAACTGTGCTGACCACTGTAATCAAATGACGAGCAAATTAAGAATCCATCTGCCAAGAAATGAATGCTTTTCCCTGTGTTCGACTTACCTGTTTCCCATTATCTTATTTATGCAAGATGATACTGTAATTTCAGCTGCCAAATATCGAAGGGTCACAGATAACCAGGTATTTGTTTCATAAAGCTTTTTCACTGGGAATTGCTTTAGATATTGTGAAACTTTTCACCTTCACTTTGTAAGTTCCCAGGAGACAGGGCATTTACAGCCTCACAGTTCCTAACTCATTATTTCATGTATGGGTGGAAAAAACCCAGCTTTGCCATTTCTAATTTTAAATAACTGCCCCACCAAGCTCTGGTATCTCCAGACAGCTTCGATTTTTGGAATGGGGATCTTCTCTGCAAATTACAGCTAGCATGGCCATACAAGTTTGCAGAGTTAAAACTTTAAGAGATATCTCTCCTTGTGGTGCACATCCTGAACTTGGACATTCCTTTCCCTTGGAGGCAGCCAAAGCTGAAGCCAGCCTCCCACAGAACACTACAGCCCTTGCATTTCCCACTGTGATTGACAGACCAACTGCGACTAAAATGGTTCAGAAAGCAAAAATGAACCACTAAGTCCCAGGCTGCTAATTAAATTCAATAAATCACTCTTTGGTCTGCTTCAGCACTTTCCTAGCAATCTGTGTCACACAAAAGCAGTTGGTACTTTTTTATCTGCAGTAGGGACATTCACGTCAGAGTTTGGGCAAGAAGTACGCAGTTGTGACATAGTAACTTGGTAACATGAGCATCCTTTAAGGCACAGTTAAAAACTCTCTGGCTCTGATAAGACATACTGTAAATTAAAATATTTCCAGTATGAAATGAGCAGATGACATTTCTAAACAATTCCTGATCATAGTACCAAAGTCCTGAGCTGTAAATCTCTCTTAATCCAGTGCTGGTCCTGACTCGCAGATGAGCAGCTGTGTAATGGGTGGGCCAAATTCTGTACACCAGCACAGCTCTGCAAGGACTTGTGCTGTGATCAGCACAAGATCACAATTTTGTTTTAAAAGTATGTTTCAAGGCTTTTGCTATCTCTAAGCTGAGATGGACATATGACCCTAGGGAATCTACATCCAGTAAAATACTAAATAGGAAATTTTCTGTTCCAGACTCTGAAAATCCTAAATTATAATTGCTTTAGATAGACTTTCCAGGTGTGATTGTTATGTTTAACCATACTAATTATGAAAACTAGTGAGTTTGCCTCTTCCTTTGTTTGAAAGGCCTATCAAATTGTGTACCATTGCAGTTTTTACAATGAGTGGGTAGGTATGTGCACTGATGTAGCCAGGGTCCTTCTGCACAGACTAAAGGAAAGACACCCGTAAAAATGACACACTAATATATTGCTGGTTTGACTAAATTGAACTGGTACTTAGAGATTTTTTTTGGTGTGTTCTTCTTTCTGTTTAATGGAGAGAAGGTATTAAGGTAAAGATAAAACTGATGCAGCTGAGCATGAGTTGAGGACTGTTATGGGTAAGTCCTTCACAGCATCACAGCCACTCCTGGCTGTCCAGATGGATAACTGAGTAATCTGGAAAGACAATTTTATATAGACATAAAAAAAAAAAAAAAAAAGGGAAGAAGAAAAGAAAAGAGAGAGAAAGAGAGAGAGAAGGAAAGAAGGAAAGAAGGAAAGAAGCTATAGAGAAAATGGAATGCAACAGAATGCAAACAAACAAACAAAAACAAACAAACAACAACAAACAAACAACAACAAAGCCTAGAAACCTCCCCATCTTTACCTCTGGGGAAAGCCAACAATGTTTAAAGATAGAATAATTTTCAGTTAGAGCTGTTCACAGCCTTTTGCACACTGAGAAGGGGAGGCCAGCAATTGTTTCCAGGAATTAGCATACTTTGGTCCTCTTGCCCCAAACTACTCTTGGGAACCAGTTGCTACCTTTAACTCTCACACATCTGTATTTAGTAGCTATTGGGAAGTGAAAATTTTTGTCTATATCTAGTACAGTCAGAAAAAAGCCATTTCAGACACAGAACACCATGAAACACTTCAGTTAGTGAGGTGCTTTTACCTTCCCATTGCTACAGCATGAAGTACATTCCCCAGGGCACATTAGTGTTATTATACCAGTACACAATAGCAAAGGATCATAATATATGAATCACAATGTATAGAAGTAATGTGACATTTTGAGTCATAGTTCTCAGACTGCTCAGAGTGTTATAAGTATCAATTCAAGTGCAAGTCTCCCCACCAGAACCACCTTTGACACAATGCTTAATAGATACATTTCAAATTTTTGCTGTAATTTTTCTCATTATTTAAATTACCATTGCAAAAATTAGTTTCTTAAAATATCAAACTTAGTGCTTAAATTTAATGCGTTTTTTAAATGAACAACCGAGGAGAATTGTTTACATTTAGAAGTTGGAAGTCATCCTAGAAATAAAATGCAGCCTATCATTACATATTTAAGAAAAAAATGTAAACCAATTAATTCCTTAAAAATGTTTGTATGTGCCTATGGAGTCTAAATGTAAATAAATACCTTTCATTTATTAAAGATCTCTATTTTTCATTAATCCTACAAACATTTCTATAGTCACTGTAAAAGACAGATGAAAATTTGAACTGAGTGAAATCAAAATTCTGGCAAAATTTTTCTAATTTGAAGAGAATTAGAGTACAGTAGTTTGCATGCCTATTTTGGTAAAGTGATGATGATGATGCTGAAGAGAATCTGCATTTTCACAATGCCTGGCACCTTCAGTATTCAGGTAACTAATCTTGATACTCCAATCCATTGCATTAGTATTATCTCAAGAAAATAGATAACAAAGAGGACTTCAGAAATTCCATTTTATGTTTCTCAGGTAAGGCTACTTGAACTCGTAGCAAAATTTCATTGGAAGTGTTTTTTACAAAACACCTAAGAAGTCTGAAAAATTCTTCAGTTCAGAAGATATTTTTGCGTTTTGACAAGAACTACTGATAACATGAACTAAACAAATTCTTCATGACGTTACTTCATGATGATGTTGGGCTAATTCTCAGCTGTTTCTTTTACAAGTATGCAACAGTGAACTCCATCCTTACAAGCATATACCATTGAAGAGGTATGTGGCAGACAAGAATCTTTCAGATTAAAAAGATCAACACTTTCTTTTGGCTTCTAAATAAAATGCTTCTTAAACAATTATTTGAAGTTGAGGGTTTTTCTCCTAAGGAATGCAGACATGAAAAACTTCACAATACCCATGCTATCTTTTTTTAAAATCTTTTTTATAATTCTCCTAGCATATTGGCTTTGTGGAAAATCTAATGGCTGCAGGAGTTATTTTTACTTAACTTAACAGTTGTGCAGATGCATTACCATGTTTTGCTTAGATGATCCTCCAATACACATAACCTAACACGGCAAAGACCATGCAAACAAGAGATTAATGAACCTATCTGATCCAGTTATTTTATCAGCTCAGATCAAAAGATGATCTCCAGGTCACACTTTTTCAATGCTTTCATATCTACCAAGCTTTTCACTTTAACAGAATAACCCCAGATAGGACTCCTAGAGTGCTTTGTCTGAGTAAAAATGCAGTCTGCCAACCAAAGGAGGTTGAGATTTATTATTTCATTCTATTAAAAACATAAATGCTATCTCTTACCTGAATGGCTTTGACATGTGATGCTGGTTGTTTTGACATTTTTACGACAGAGGCTTATCCCTGCAAGCAAAATTGGAAAGTGTTACAGGCTCTGACATTCTGATAGCTATGGAAGACAAGCTAGAACTTAACCCATGCTGCCTCTTGACAGGCATCCATTTCATCTGCCCAGCTCCTGTTTCCATCTCAGTTTCCAAGTTGCTTAGTTATTCCTTCTGATATCAGAAGGAGACAGAACACCTGAGCTTCACCAATTAATCTTTCATAGCCACAAATGAAGCTATCTCTTTCACACTAAAAACAATAATGAGTAGAGATAAGGAATCTCTCAAACCTTAACAGAACTGTAAAATGAGTAAGAATTAAGGGAAGCTTTTGAGGATAAACATTGTATGGTTAGCCCTGTCACAGTAGGTATGTGGGAATTATTAGAACTTTCAGTTTAAGCCTTCTCTCAAATAAAATGCAACTTGTTAGAAAATATTGATAAATGCAGACATAACCTCGCATAAATCCTTGCAAACATTTAATGCTTGCAGACTGAAAGTGATCAAGATGGAAAAACAGAAAAGTTCTCCTTGACAATTGCTAGTGCACAAAGTAGCCTCCCTTCAAAGTTTTACATCATATAGAGTCATCTTTTTTCTTTAGCAATAAGATAAAAAATAATATATTTTTCCATATAATTATATGCAGGTGGAGAAATATGGACTGATACAGTATTAATATATAATAGCAAAGGGAAATACACCAGAGTAAAAAGGAAAAAAAAATTGTTAGCAGATTATTTGAAACACAATATCAGTCTTTTATTCTCTCACTGAGAAGGTAGATTTTAACTGGACTAGACTTTCATCAAAGTCTTGTTATTTAACTATTATAATATAAAGTAATGTAGTAATTCTAAAAGCTGAGAAATTAATTCACCAGAGAAATCACTGATCAACACAAACCTACAGCACATTTTTGATACTGTATTTAATCTTAGATAGAAAGGGAAGTAATGAGAACAGAAATAAATTAGATAGGAGAGAAAAGCAGAAATACACTGAGAAATTAAAGTATGTCAAAGACTTGGGTACTCCAAAGAGCATAACTCCCTCATGAGGCAGTCCCCAAAAAACCATATAGATGAGTTGTATGTCGGCTTCAGCTTGGAATATCAGCAATATGAAATTGTATTGCTGAGACTGACTAGAAGACTTCCTCCTGCATATTCTCTCATCAGTTTTAAATCTGTTTACAATGCTGAGCAGAATTAAAGAACAAATGACCTGCCATTAGAGGTCTCCCTCTGGTCACACTCTCAGCTTCAAAAAGTGCTGTCCAAACTAACACAGCATTCAGTCAGAGGACAGTTATGTTCATAAATTGCTTCCACTAAATTAATAAATCAGAAAAAAATCCCAACTGTGCAAAATAAAACCAGCATTCTTTTAATGAGTTTTATATTGTGGTTTTATATACACAATCTTGAGAGAGAGCTCAAAAAACTTCAGAATTCACTTTAGGGGATGCAATCTCAGCCACTGACTTTCATGACAAAATACAAACAGATTTAAAAAACACAAAAGGATTTACTACACTCTGTCTCCTTTAGTTTTGAAAATCTTTATTAGGAGTATAAATAACTGTTCCGTTGAGCAGTGACTGTATTGCAAAATAAACATAAAACAATCCCCCAAATGACTGGGAAGATTAGAATCATAATACAGAATGTTTAATTAATTTTTTAATCAACTTCTCATCTTTCTTATCAGAATGAAAAATGGAAAAAAAAAAAAAGCACAGGAAAATAATATTAAACATTTTGAAACACAGTGGATCTACTTCCCAAGCACTGTCACAAAGAAATTCTTGCTAAGATGTACTTCATCTTGCATGCCTGTGCATTGGAAAAACACCCATACACAGCTCTTGGGCCACTTAGAGATAAATTTACCCTGAACCTCAGCTTCAAAACAAGCTCAGCATTAGTGCTCTTTGGCGAGGTGCTCTGGGTTCACAAGCAGTCAGTGTTTGAAATTACTGCAATCAGACACTGGTTCCTAAAGAGGGATGCATGATACAATTGTGTAGGACTGCTTCTGGAGGAGGTGATTTTCCTACCAGACCATGCTGTCCTCATTACCGCCAGAGAAATCAGGACAACAGCACACCACAGAATAAAAATAGATCTCTGGCTCTTTCCCCTTCCCTCCTTTCCCTGAATTTCCTTACAGAGCAATACTGACCACCAGTCACAAGAAAATAAACCTTATATTACAGAAGCATCCATTACAGACGTGATCAGTTAATTTTATAAATTCCTTTGTTCTTTCACCATGTGTCTCAGGGAGACAGTCAAGAGTGCTGCGCTGATTGTAATAAGTTATTTCTAATATTCCAATCAGCTCTGCAAACTTGAAAAAATCCCACTCCACCCTCATTTCCACAGCAGGATTTCACGTCTCTGGCAGGCAGAGAAATGCAGACACACAGCCTGTATTCCCCGGTGCCTTTTTGGCCTCCCCACACCTTACCTTTTACCTTTTATGGGCTGCATGCTGAGCCAAACTTAGAAAGCAATGGCAACCTTAGTTCAATTTGGAGCTGGTTTATGGCAGCCCTCCCTTGCAAATTCCCTTGATTTGCAGTGAAAGTACTCATGAGCAGGACTACTTGTGAAATACAGGGTTACTGCAGTGAAATAAATGAGGGTTTTGAAGCAAAACTTTGTAAAACAAAGGAACCTATCTTCTGTCTCACTGCTAAAAATAATTTCTGACAGAGCTGCAGCAAGATAATAAGCTGATTTATTCAATTTGCTTTAAATACGATGAGATATCATAATGCCATCTTTTGTAATGCACACAAGAGATGTACAGTAGCACACAGACAACAGTAAGAGCCCTCCCCCTGTCCCAGCTGGAAGCTGTCCTCTCCCCCCACTGCATGCATGGCATCAAGCACAACAGGCATTTTGGAGACAGAACTGCAGTGTATTATCTCATTAAAAGGCTCTGACAGGAACTACACGACTGTGAGACCCAGCCAGTACATCGAAAGAAGAGAAACCCCTACTCTGCAGCTTTCAGCCTGTTACACGAAAACTTACTACAAGCTCTAGGCAAATGTGGTCACATTTTCTGTAATACACAATAATCTTCACTACAGCTGCCTGTTAAGCTTAGTGAAAGAAACCTCTCTTACGTCAAAACCATAATGTAATATTTCACTAACTATAATAAACATATAGAAAACAATAATCCTCTGCCTATGTACCACAATATTCAAACTCATACACACTTCTTATGAGTCATGAGGTATTTAAGTGACTTTTTGTTTTAAATCTTTAGATCCCCACAGACTATGAAGCAATAGCGATCTGCTCTGAATACTCTGATGCACTGCATCAGACATTAAAATAGGCAGAAACCCACAACTATTGTAGTAAACTCACAGCAATTACTAGAGAGTTCTCATGAAGGTCTTCAAGATTTTAATTGACCCCTTCAAGATTAACTAACTTATTTACTTATATAAAAAAAGTTCCAAACCGTCAAGTGAGTATGCACACCTCCTTTTGATGCTGAAAGAGGTACCTTCTTCTACCAGCTGAGGTATTGACTGTGACCCTTTTAATGTGTCTGAAATAGCTCCGATGCTTTCAGCCTGGACGGCACTGAGTGCTGCTCCAGGCTGGAGTGGGACTCAGCAGAGAGGCGAAGTGTAAAAGGGAATTCCTGTCATAGCTTCCAGTTGTTCTTCCTAAATATAGAGTTTGATTCACCCTGTAACTTGGTCCCCTGTGACACTTGACCATGGTAAAGGCAGGGCTCAACTGTCAAGCAGGAGGTGTTGAAGGAACACACCTTTAGGTCCTTTTCCTGCCCTCCCTCTCCCTGTCATTCCAGGCTTTTCCCAAGTGCCAAGCATACAGCAGTAGTAGGTAACACAGAACTCCTCCCATGGCATTTGGGGCAGTCTGTGCCTCCCTACACCACACCGGAGAAGGAAATAATTATGGAGACGTAATTATGAAGAAGTCACATCGGAGGAACTACCTAGGGGAGGTGAATGACAAACCAATGTGAGCGTGGCCATATTGCTGCTGCTTTGGGAGCAAACTCCCACAACAGCTGCCTGGGGTGTGGGCAGAGCCTTCCCCCCTGCAGGATAGCCCTGCTCACAGGGGAGGTTCCTGGGCATGGAGGCCATAGCGACCAGCTGCTGAGCCTGCAGGCATGGGGATGAAGAAAAGCCAAAGGAGGAGCATGTATGTGTGTGTGAGAGAGAGTTGTTATAGCTCTTGGTTGGTATAGCTGTTATGTATATGAGGGAAGTAAAACATTACACAGTTGTGCTCACGCTGGCTGGAGTATTGTCTTAGTGAGGGCTACTGATGGAGATTTCACAACAAATTGTGTCTGGGGCACATCCTCAGGTTTCCACTTGCAGGAGTGCAGACTCCTGGTCATCTATGCATCTTCACAAGAATGAATTTCCCTCTTCCTCACTCCTCTGCTGTACCTGATCTCCACTGAACCCACAACAGTAATGGTGACAACAGCAGTGTCATTATGGGCAGTTACTGTCAAGGATCTCCCTTGACTTGAACTCATTTGACCAATGACCCTTTTCATTTCAAGCATCTCAAAGACGAAGGTGAACAAGCAGGCTGCTTCATTAAGCCTGTGACTCACTCTCCACTGCCCTCTTTCCCAAATATGTTGTCATCTGGAAGCTGATAAAGCTGATGACTTGCTCTGGGAGATTGCTGACTACTTAGAGCCACCCCCTTCCCAAGCAGCCACAAGAAGATGGACCACACAGAGCCAGGCACAAAACCAGGACATGCATTTGTGCAGGTCAGGACCCATGGAAGAACACACAGTAAACAGCTTGTTCCAAGGAGACCTCTATTCCTCAGAAAGGCTGATTGTGCTTGTTGCCAAAAAATTTTGAGGTATGAGAGGACTACTGCCTTGAAAGGTGGTGGAGTTCCCAAGAGGGCTCACAGAGCGGTTCTTTGACCTTTCAGGTGGTTGAGACCACATTAAAACAAAGC